TAATAATAATAATTTTTATTTATACCCCGCCTTTTGCCGTAGCAGTCAAGGCAGCTTTCATCTAAAACAATGCAAAAACTACTGGTATGGGGATATTTTATGTATTATGTATGTGTTTTTATTGTTGTGAGCCGCCCCGACTGGTTTCAAAGGGGCGGGATATAAATACATTAATTATTATTATTATTATTACTCCCATAATAACAACAAATGTAAAATGTGGTTTAGGTCCGTCCATCTGTCATCCACACTTTTTGAACACGGTTCTGAATCTATTTATTCCAAAAAGATCTCCAGAAAACTACTCATCAAAAAGTGTGGGTTTTTTGGATTTGTGGAGGCTCAAAGTTGGGGTTGTTTCTGAAACCGTTCACAGTGAGAACAAGGCACATATACAGCGAATCACAATTTGCTGTAAATTGTAGTCGGAATGGCCCCCTAGAGTGGGAATGGAAAGTGATTCTGCAACCTATGTATAGGTACTTCAGACAGCCTGCAAATCTAGAGGAAAGCTGTATTAAAGGAAATCAGGACTACACAGAACCTTCTGGGACAACTCTTGAGGCCTCAGCCGTATAGCACAGTTGGTCCACCGTATCAGCAGGCTAGTTATCTCCGGATTGGAGCATCCGCAGACGGCCCTGCCCCATTATTGTCAATGGCAGTGCATATATGTGGCCATGCCAACATGGTCACATGCATGTCCATTAGCAATAATGGGACTTGAGGTCCCATGCTTTTTGGTATCTGTGGGGGAGGTCCAGAAGAGAACCCCCACCAATAAGGAGTGTGTATGTGCTTTATTGTTCCTTTAATTTTTGAAGTTTAGGGATGAACTAACATGGCACCATCTAGGCACATGTGATAATGTAGACCTCCCCAGTCCTAATGCAACAGCCTTGCTACTGAACCATACTGTCATGGGATCTTCCATCTAGAGTTTAGAGAAGTTATCATTCTGAACTACAATTCTCAGAATCCTCTGAACTACAAAACTCATGAAAGATGAGATGGCGTGATCAATGGGACTTTAATCCCAAATAATGCCTTTTCAAAGTCCTGCTCCCATCCATATTCTGAGAAGAGTCAGATCTGTGTAACTTCAGCTGGATTGCTGTATCATTTACTTTCACTCTGTTCTCTACATCTTCAAAGAAAAATTTGGCTTTCTTCTAAAACTTGGGATCTGTGTAGCAACCCCAACCCACAAAACAGCTGAGGAAAAATCTCCCCATCTGATGACTCTGAAAACCTGCTATCATAATAACACACTTGCCACATCTCTAATTAAAACCAATCCTCTATAAATAGAAGTGTGCTGTTTGGAAACTTAAAACCTAAAAATATCTCCACAGTTATTAAGGTCATGTATATTTCATGAGTTTTATCACATGTTCAGCAAATGCCTGCCTAAACTGAGCAAATGAAAAAGCTTTCAGAGCAAAAGGACCACCCTTCCACCCACAATCATCTTCACATTCAATTTGCTCCAACAACAAAGCTGATACAATCCTCCAGTATCACTGTATTTTTGTTGCCAGACTATGGGGGGTTGCAGACTGTCAGAAATAGTGTGAATTCAGTC